CAGAAAGAACAGCAGCACGCATGAAAGAACACAAAACATCAACATTCACATATTCTATGTGTAGAAAAGTTTTGGTATTTCAACATTAAATGAGATAAGGACAAATTTTATAGTCTAATTTATGAGAAAGACAAATAGTATTGACGACGAAAACACTTTATATGCTGTCAATGTGATAGGTGAAATTATAATGATTGCAAGGATGGGTTATACTTCAGAGTAGAATATAGTTTTAATATCAACGATTGTTTGATGCTAAGACGACAGTACAGTATTGTTTTTTACTCCGAACTCATTAAATAGAAGGGTTTTCCGAACTTTTAGAAACTTGGAGTTTAGTATGATCCAACTAATTTAGCTTTAAGCTGTCAAGTTGTAAGCATATAGTGTATTTCCATCATCCGTGCTATTTGTGTTCGCAAATAACTCTGAATATAAAATTTGTGTACATCTTATTTTATACTTGTAAATACAAAAAAATTTTTTATATGGGAATGCAGAAGGAAAATCAAACGGAGATAATAAAGTTTTTTGCACGGTTGTATCTGATGGGGTTCTGCTCCTATGATGTATCGCCACTATACCGCTGTTTCCCACAAGTTCAGCGGAAACGGGCTGTGCTTAGAACCACAGATTATATGGATAGTTTCAGAAGGTAAGATTAAAGAGGAAGCGACACTTTTGATGTCTAGAGATAGCTTAACGAACGATACCTCCGACAAGACCATCCGATCTGAAAACTATCGATAAGCACATAAAGTTTTTGTGCTACTTCACTGTAATCGACTAAGCTGATTTCGATCATATGAGGCACTCGATCGGAAAAATGAGAGTCTTTGCTGTCTTGTGACTAACTCTACTGGAGTTTACACTACATTCTTTTACTAGTATATCGTGACCCATTTCATTTAGTAATCAATACCATGCCTTTTTTCGCTCATCACATCGAGTATAGCACACGAATAGCGCACTCACATCAAGAATAGCGTAATTGTGAAAGAAATATACAAAACGGTTGCAAAATACTGAATGAATAATCAGTAAAATTTGTCAAATATTCGACTATATTAGGCAATGTACTTAGACAATATTAATAGCTAATCACGAAGGAGATAACTTTTGTACAATCACATAGCCGCAAATCAGTGACAAACATTAAGTGAATAATGATCTTTTGCCTGAAACGCATAAATCTTTGGATTTCAGCCAGAGAAGATTAATGAACAAACAAATGAACAAAAACCAGATCCTCTGTATTACACGAGCATTGTCCGCTTTTTTTAATGTGATTTATTCAGTGATACTACGTTTTGAACAATTTTGTCAGAGATTTTTCAAATAAGGTGTGTTCTCATAATAAGCTTCTTTTCAACGTAAGTGAATCGCAATGAAGTTTTACTGACGATTAAAGAAAAATAGCTAATAATAAAAAGCACTCTGAGAGCGCTTTTTATTGTAGGCTACTTATTATGAGCTGTTGAAACTGACATAAACGTGCGCTTGTTAACGTTAAATTGCACAAACATGCGCTCACATCAGTGGGATATGGCGTCGAGAGCTCTCTGGTCTAAACTCAAATATGAAAAACCGATAACAAGATACAGAACAAAGACATCGACAAATGGTCGCATTGTTGGAGATGAAGACGACGTGTCTGTGATTTTTAGCATAGATCAGATGTTGAATTTGAGCACATAAAATCAATGCCTCGTGATCAATTTAACAGTTGGTTTTAGTGTTTTTCATGAACTGATGAGTCGCTATTACTGTTGTCGTTCGAATTTCTAAAAAAGCAAAATGAGAATTTTCTTTTCTTTTTCATCCATGCCCACCTTACTCTCTACAAACTGAGAGGCATTTAAACTCCTTTGTCATAGTTTTGGCGTAGCATCGAATGAACCTTGGAGCCGTAGGACTACTCTCATACAGTCTGACTTCTACTAAATGTAAAGACCTGCTGAAACCTAAGTTATCGACTAATACCAACAAGGTGAAAAAAGAGGGAAATACCACCAGAAGTCATTGAAAATGAAAAAGGAGGTGAAACTTTGACACAATTGGAATTTAGGCTTTCGGGTTTTTTCTTCTGTTATCTACTTTTTAGTGGGAAAAATTACATATTTTTCTTTCGTTCTTCTCATGCAAACACCGGAATTTTCCCATTTTTATTTTTAGCCAGTGTTCGGTATATATCCTTCTGATGTTTACAAACATTTTCTGTGTTTCAAAATATTAAAAGACGAGTTTCAAGATTTAAATGTTTAGGTTTTCATTCTACCACTGTCATCAGATAAGTATTCGCATTCATGATTAACTCGTTTTAGTGTAAAGCGATAAGGGTTTATATTATGAGATTACCAGTTATACGATTACCAGACGCTTGTACGCTCGACATCAGGGTGCTAACGTTTGAGCGCTGACACTCGGGCGCGCGCGGCAGAAGGGCGCGAACAACATTTGGGCGCGTGTATGACAGAAGCATTCAGTAAATTAAGAGGCTGATAAATAACAATAAGATTTTCTTTTAAACAAACTTGGAAGGGTGTGGGAGCTTTTTTATATTATTCAACAACACATATCCAACTAAAAGCACTGTTTGTTTAATCTATACTGATACTTACCCTCATCGACACCTTCCCCTGTTTTGAAGCGCAAATGTCGTGCGCGCCCTATGATCGTTGTGTCCCAGTGTCGTGCGTCCTAGAGATGCCGTCTTTAACAGCTAGTGCAGAAGTCTTGGATTAAATGTCGAACATTATTTCTGTATGTTGCCAATGTGAGAGCAAAGTGTGAACTTCACAAAACCATAGAAAACCAAATTTTTGCGATTGGTTTTGAAGAAGGAAAACGTTTGATAGCAAACATCGCCAAAAAAGCTCTTGCAATGTACTTTTTTTCTTTAGGTTTTAGCAGAGCCTGAAGAAAAAATCTTTTCTGGAAACCAAACAGGTAAGAATACAGCCCGCGCACAAGTCTATCAACTTCCCTACGGAATTTCTCAAGAGTTCTTTAACAGCAAATAAAGCGCATTATAAATCTTACTCTTAATAGAAAGCACTACTTTGCATAGGAAAAATGAGACATCGAGAACAAGTCGTTATTCAGCACTCTAAACATGTCAGTAAAGGTTAAAACTAGTGTGAGTTTGTAGAGAATTGCATGCTCGTCCAAAAATGTGTTTTGGAAACGGGAATACATTAATTAACAATTTATTATTTTTAATTTATTAATTTAAATTAACTAATAATTAAAAAATTAAAAAAAGTCTGATTACCTGTTTTTTGAAACTAATGAAACACTTTCAAAGTTTAGGTAGAAAATGAAGCAAAACATAATTTATCACACCCTGTTTGATAGAGTGATAAAAACACTTCCAGTTTCTATAATTATATAATTTCAAACGTATTCTGTTATAGGAAAAAATACGTTTGATGCGAGTGATAGGTTCGGAGAGGATCAAAGTTGCACGAGCTTTTTGGGCAACGCTTAGTTTCAAATCTTTTGTGCTTCAAAGTCAATCGCAAAAATTTTATATTCTATGTGTTTTTGAAGTTCAGACTTTGTTCTTTCCAATGAAAGAATAATTAACCGTTTAGCACATGGGGAACATGCAGAAATAATGTTCGGCATTAAATGCAGAACTTTTGTACCACCGTTACGTTGAAATTTTTATCTTAACGTTTCTTATAGAAGTACATAACTTAGCTAGTTTGTAGTGATCAATTATAATTTATTATTGCGAACAATAACCAACTGTTACTTGTCGTTTTAGTATATAACACTATAAAAAAATCTTTTTTTTTCTTACACCTTTCTTTTACAATTTTTATTATCGATAATCAATGGCATCAGCTAATGTGCTTCGAGCAGTATCCTATTCTCATTCGAATGAATCAAAAGACACCAATGAAACAAGTAGTGTCTATTATCAAACGTATGGTACATTGATTGAAAGTATAAAACAGACTTTAGTTGAAAAAGCGGACGCATCGTATAACAGCGAAACACAGCAAAAGCAAATAACAGCTCGAAATCTCAAACGAAAACAGCGATACGATGACGACACACAAAACACTCAAAAATCTATAGCTACTGGTGTTCAAGCGCTACACAGCTTTCACGAACTATCCATCATTAATGAAATTCGAAAGCGAACATATTCTCACTGGCAACTGAAATCACCGTCCCGGTCACAGATGATCGAGAGTGGCTTCTTCAACTGCAACGTCAACGACCGTGTCATTTGCATTTACTGCAATTTGATCTGTCAGCAGTTTATTGTTCACGATGATCCGAGTGAAATTCATAGGATTTTGTCCCCCAACTGCTGTTTTGTCAAAACAAATCTCATCTCAACAAGTACATCGACGCCAGTCATTCTCAACGAAATACCAAATGCGCAGACGGATATTGAAGTTGTTTCCGCTCGAGCCTGTAATCAACAGTTTGTTGAAATATCAAAACGTCACGCAACATATGCATCGTGGGCACATGATGACCCGTTGCCTGCAGTTGACAAACTCGTTCGGGCTGGCTTCTTCTACACGGGTACAAAAGCTATTGTAACCTGTTTTTATTGCAATGGATCGCTTCAAAACTGGAGTGCAAAGGATGATCCGATGATTGAGCATTCTCGGTGGTTTCCCCACTGTCTCTATGCAAAGCAGTTGTGTGGTGATGAATTGTATCAAAAAATTCAACTGTCAAAACGAATTACACAGCAAGGTGAGTTTCAGCGACCAGTACAGTACACTAAGCTGCCCGTCTTTGCTTACATGCTTTTCTTCATGTCGAGAAATTCAAAATACTGGAAAGATCTCAAAAACATGAAAATTTTTTGTTTTAAGAAAAAGCCTTGTGGTTTTTTTCTGAAGTACCATGGAGACTTGAGCTTACTATGTTTGGATTCCTTATTCAAAACTGCATCTAGCCAAGGTACTTCCAAGTCTCCAAATCACAAAGTGAAACTACGACCTAAATTCTCAAGTTGTCTTGTTTATCAAGTAGTTGCTTTAGGTGCATCTTATCTTTAATTGATTCTAATCTTCAGCTCCTTCGAACAATAAGCAGTCACAAACTCCGGCCAGCAGTTCCTTCTCATTGACAAATGTAGATTCTGATGTGTCAGATGTTGTACTACCACTGCAAATTCCCGATGAGGGTACATTATCAAAATTTGTGGCTGCTCGACTCGATTTACCAATCTCACAGCGTGTTTTAGCGAAGTTTAGATTGTCGATTGTTAAACGCTGTTATGAAGATCAGCTCCGATTAAAACGTAAGTGAAGAATAAAGAGAAGAGTTCTCCGTTGTACAGTATATGTATTAATTTTCAGTCACGGATTTTCCGAGTGATATCGATCTATTCATGGCTTGTTTGATTCTCCAGAAAGAAATTGAAATAATAAACGGTAAAAAAGAAAATATTATTATCCCATCGCAAAAATTGCAGAAGATATCGGAAAAAAATAAACAAGGTGAGTCTACTATGCTTCGACATCGATCTCTGCCACTGCAATTTGTGTAATCCGTTCCAGAAGCAATGGAAGCACAACTGAATGCAGCATTAAAATGTGACAAAGAAGAAGACTCATCTGCAACGGTTTCATCAACATCTTCAGTTTCGAACACAGTAGTCAAGCATATTTATAAAACAGGTATGCGACTTATATCAGCTGATGAGAAGAAGTTATGTGCTCCCCACTGGAACCAAATAATAAAATAGAACAGGTGGATCCGATTCGGTTCAAACCGAACTGATTCCCGTTCTGTTTGAGTTTTTCGTAAATCGGTTCAGTTCGGTTTAGTTTGAGAAAGTTTCGGTTCGATTCGGTTCGGTTGCCGAAAAACACGAACCGATCCTGTCTCTGCTGGTTAAATGTTTTTCAAAATGAACATTTTTTTACTGTTTGATAATGGAAACCTCGAGGTTTAAGCCTTACTTGTACCTGTGTAAGACATTTTTTGGCGTGACTCATGGATAGACCATGACCTTCAAACTCTTAGGCGTCCACTTTCAGAAAAATGGTTCGGCTATATATGGTATAGTCGAGACTAACTCATGCAATAGGCCGACTGCATGAAGACTTTTGCACAATTCTCTTTTTATTTAAATAAGTTGTTGCGATTCTACCAGATCTCCACATTGACTAGAGTGCGCTGAAAATTTTTTGACCTCATACACTCGACTAGGCTGAAGTCAAACTTTCAAGACCATGGACTAGTCTGGGCTCGAAAAAAATTTTAGATTCACTTGAACCGAGGAATAATCAGTAGAAAACATGTTGTTTTGTATTGTGAACTGGACTGGAATACTGTTTTAGAGTCCATGAAAGTTCATGGACTCTAAAAAAGTGGTCCAGTCCAGTTCACAATACTTTCATGGACTTTATAATAGACAGAATATAGAAAGTGTAGTGTATTTTAGAAGATTGATTTTTTTCGTCCGATAGCGCAGATCGTAAGCAGTTTGATAGTGGAGTATAGTCAGAAGTTGTGGCAAAGTCAGACGGTGTGATAGATAACAGCTCTTTTTTATTTTTGAAAGTGAAGTGAAAGCACTTCCGAAGAGAAAGAATACACACGGAAACAAAGAACTAAAGTGAGGAGTGTTTGAATGATAAAGACAAAGAGTTTTGCGCTTTATTCTAACTTTAATTACATATAAAAATAATTGATCGGTCCGGTTCGGTTTCAGAAAGTTTCGGTTGCAAAAAAACAGTAACCGAAAAACACACCTCTGTAAAATAGGTTACACACCGGATTTTTCGGTATTCCATCACATAGCTGAATCCTTCCTCAGAAATTGTTCTTGATGAAGTTTTTGAAAAATTTTCTCTTTTTAACGTGCTCGTTACACTGATAATGCTCTTCTTTAGAAGAAAAAGTGAAATCAAACGGCACCAGTGCCTGTTTATTATGTTTAACAGATGAAAAACGTTTGGCTTGCATTCCATGTGGTCATTTGTCAACCTGCGTCCCATGTGGTCATTCACTACGTACCTGCCCGATATGTCGACGAGAAATTCATGCTTTTGTTCGTGTCTATACATAAGTGTGAGTAGAAATTTTACATTGAATATAATTTCAGCTTTATTTGAAGTTACACTAGAAAATAGAGGATTGAGGTGGTAAGAAAGACTCGGTGTTTGTAACTTGATAACTTGATCTTATAATGTCTACAAAGCCTATAGAAAGAATCATTTGCTTAGAATGCACGACATACTAATCGTTTTTCAATCACCACATGACTCACTGCTTTCTTTTATAATCATATCGTGTCTGTTTCCTGTTTTGTGTTCTTTTATGCATTCTGTTGTTCTTGCTGTATATCTTACTCATTTCTTATTCCTTGTTCGTCATTATCTCAGACAAGAAGAATGAATGTATCTTCGAGAGTTGTGAAATACTATTACTAATATACTTCGATAAAAAAGAATACGCCAAATGAAAACGATCTTATACTGCAATTTTTTCTTAACAGAACAGAAAAAATCACATACTGGGTTTTTCCTCTTTCTTTTTTTTATGATTGTTTTCAACGCTTTTGCCTAACTTCTGACGTTTGGTTTGTAGGCAAAACCCAAGTCAGAGAAGTATTACTAACTTACAACTGATTTCTTCTTGAAGGGACGTTACAGTCACTGTGTATATTAAAAAATAGTTGTCATTTTTTTTGTACGTTTTATTTATTTAATAAAGAAAGAAGTATTTTTACTTGTGACAAAAAGGAGAAAGTTAATCCCCATTATTATTCTTGTCACAGAGCGGTTGAGCAACGAGTCAATTTGGATTTATCATACTTTGAAACTATTTCGATCGATTAATGGAGAGTAAAAGATAACAGGAAAGAAGAAACATTAGACATTGAACAAAGATGGGAAATGTAAGAAAATGTATTTACAATTTCTTACATTTTCTTACATTTTACAATCTTTCGCAGCTGACCAGAAGAAAAAGAGAACGTAAAAAAAGACGTCTCTATTTTTCTCTTTCTGTTCTATATATATCTTGCACATCGAGAAACTCTAAGAGCAAAAAATCCAGTATCCGTGTTTAGACTCGAAAATACTCTAATAGTGCTGCAAGAATAATGGCGCCTAAAAACAGAAATAAAATAAGTTTTTGTCTAAATTTTATGCTAAGTTAATATAAAATTAATTCTAAATTTATATAGACATATATGAGCCTGTATCCCTGAGCATGACACCTAGAACATACTTTTCATATGCATGAAAACTACTTTTATAAAAAACGCAGCGAAATTTTCTGATGTTAGGAAGACCATTAACGGTCCAATTATAATCGTACTTTAGTCATCTTATTATCATTATATAATAATTCAAAAATATTATAAAAATCGCATAGAAATCGGATAAATACTTCCACATAAATGAGGCTAAGCTAATGTCATAAATATGACCTTGAAATGAGCATTATTGAATAATCAATTTATGATAATTTTTTTCCGACTTGAAGATTAATGGCCAATTTTTATATCATTTTAATAATGATCATAAAATGACCAAGAAATCAGGTTATATCCAGGTCATTTTTTCTACCATTAAATGATCATTAATTGATCATCCTTCTGCCATATCGTTAACTGGCTATTATTGGCTCATTAATATCTCACTTGTATTCACCTGAGTACTTCTGCGCTTACTCATAAATTATCCATAAAATCTTTCATTTAACTTCATACATTAACGGGCTGATATGATACATTTGACTTTTGTATGATTACGTTTAAACATAAGCGCATTACAACTGTACGACAGCAACAAATGTATTAAACTACGCTATTCCTTCTTTCATTCTGTAGCTTTATCATGAGCGATTAACAATTTAATCAGAAAGGAGGAGGGCGGATAAGGTAGGTTTCCCGCACCCAATGGAATTGCATTTTTTCTATCAGAAACATGTCAGGGGATTATTTGAAACATTTTGTACCACTTAGTTTTTCAA